AGGTAGGTAGGTAGGTAGGTAGGGAGGTAGGTAGATAGGTAGGTAGGTAGGTAGGTAGGTGGGTAGATAGGTAGGTAGGTAGGTAGGTAGGTAGGTAGATAGGTAGGTAGGTAGGGAGGTAGGTAGGTAGATAGGGAGGGAGGGAGGGAGATAGATAGATAGATAGATAGATAGATAGATAGATAGATAGATAAGATAAGATAGATATGCAACCCTAGGGCTTATACCTGCTAGGCAAGCACTCCACTCTTGAGCTACACCCCAGCCCAAACATGATTTTTTTTTTCTTTTTTTTTGCCGATCCGGGGATTGAACTCAGGCCCTTGCACTCGCCAGGCAAGTGCTTCTACTGAGCCATCTCCCCAGTCCCCGAAACATGAAATATATCAAACATTTTTTTTTTAAATGGGTAACATATTGTGAGAGAGGAAGACAATATTCAAATGGAAAGGGGAACATGGAAGGGAGAGGGGGAAAGAAAGAAACAGAAAAGAAAAAATGAGGAAAGGAAGAAAAAGTGGAAACAAAGCTTTGTAAATACAGAGGGGAAGGGGACAGAGGAAGATGGGAACGAGGAGAAGGATGGAGCTATGCCATCGTGTTCAGGTACAAGTTCCCTATGATGAACGTGACTGTCTTGGATAGCTACAGTGCACCAATCGATTTCATTAAAAAAATAAATACATCTAGGAGTAAAGAAGAGCCCTGATTTTCCCACATATCCTAAAATGTATCCAATACAAGATTTATATAAGGTAACTCTATGTAACTCATAAAGACAGTACAGCATACACATAAAAGCTAAAGACGCAGCACAAAAGTCTAAAGAAAATTTTTACAACGGAGAGGAATGAGGCAAACCATGGACTTGGTGAGTGACCATGTGTCCAGGCGGGCTCACGGCACAAGGGAGGAGCCCTGGTGCGCAGGCAGGGCTCGAGAACTATGCCCTCTGCAATTCACTAACATCCTAAAACTGGTCCACAAATCACTAAAGTTTATTAACTAATTTAAAAGACAACCTTCTGCCAAGATTACCTGCTACCTCTTAGCTCAATAATTGCATGTTTTGGCATCAGCCAGGCTACCTGTGGAAACGAAGATCGAAGTGGAAGCCAGCAGCTCAGCGCAGTGACGCCTGCCAGCTTCTGCTGGGTGGTGAGGGCGGTGTATAAAGACAAAGCTCCTCCCTGGAAAGAGAGGGGAAATCAGCTAGGTACACACTGCCAAGAACGGGCGAAGGTCTCATCCCTAAGAGAAATCAAACTGGGTGGCTGATGTCAAATGAGCCGAGCTGGGGCCTGGCCTTAGCTCACTTGTTTAAGTGGCTGCTTCCACAAAGCTGTCAGCCTCAGGTTGCTGTAGTTCGATCCCTATAACACTCCAGCCAGCCAAACCACCTCTGAGGGCATTCGGAGAAAGAAAAAAAAAAAACCCTTACTCCATTTTTGGGGCCGGGGACATGGCTCAGTAGGATAAGCGCTTGACTGTCAAACGCAAGGATCTGAGTTCAATCCCCGGTTCCGCCAAAAAAAAAAAAAAAAAAAGAGTCGAGCCAATACGTACACACACTCTCGAAAAGGACACGGCTCTCGATCTGACAGCAGCTGCTACTCTGCATCACCACCTTGAGACCAGGACTGCCCCGCACACACCTCTACAACCCCTGTCCACCCACCAGGACACCATGTCCTGGAAACTGCCCTCTCATCAGCACCTGGAGTGCCTGTCACCACTGCACTCAGGAGGACATGACAGCTCTTCCCATCCAGAGCGTGATGTCGCTTCTCCAGAACTCTGCCTACGCTGCGCTTGTCTGACCCTCTTGCCTCAGCCCCTCAGAGTGCAGCATCACCATGCTTGGTGCTCTTCAACGTATTTTAGGGAAGGGTTGATAGGCTATAATCAATTTCAAATAAAATTCTTTTGCATACTTCCTATTTTTAATAAAGTTTTCTGTCCCTATCATTGTAGGAAGATAGGTACTATTATAAATCACTACAACAAACACATTAATAATACCTTTTTATGACTGTATCAACAACATATCTTTTCTATTGATTCCTATTGTCTAAATGATTCCAGAATTCTGACATTTACCTTAGTAAGGTAACTGAAAAATTTGCTGTTTCTTTAGAACAAGTAAAAGAGACTAGAAGTTAAAACATTCTGAAGGGGCTGGAGAGATGGCTCAGTGGTCTAAAGCAGCTACTTGGAACAAGCTTGGCAAAGCACAAGGACCGCGGTTCAATCCTTTAGCACCACATGCCAGCCAGACCCGCCCCCTGGTGGGCTGAGCTGGCCACACACACACACACAATAAATAAATGTAATAAATAAATAATTTAAAAAAAAAAACATTCTGAAGATGCATTGCAAAGACAGAGGTCAAAAGTTCAAGATGCAAGATCAGTTATAAAGAAAACTGGCCATGATGGCGCACATCTCTGATCCCAGCAATCAGGAGGCTGAGGCAGAAGGACCGCTGTGAGCTCAAGGACAGGTTTGCCGTCATAAATAAATGAATAAATACTTACTGTTAAGAAAGTATTTTGATTGGAGGGTACATCCAGGGAGGAAGAAAGACACCAAAACAAACATTTCTATCTAAAATCTATCCAAAAGGGAAGAACTTCTCGTGTCATCTACCTTACTGTTCCTATTACTAGTCTGTTCCGAGTACACAGAATTTAAGCCTGTATTACTATTTCTGATGTGTTATATACACATACCAACTCCTCATGAGGGATGTAAACTAACATACTACAAATATATACTAATAAAAATAAAAAGGTTTTAAAAAGAAAATATATTTCAGATCCCAATTAATTTACTTAATAAAAGTAAAAACTACTGCTGAGGAGACAGAGAATGAGAAAAGTAAAAAAGTATACAAAGTAGAAATTAGTTCCAGTGCAAGCAGACCTTTCAGCATTAGTAGCAGTCCAGGGCCAATGGCGCTTCTGAGAGAGCACTCTTCCACGGAGCAAAGACTGACCATGCAGCCGGCTAGCTAAAGCATGCAGACGGTGCGCACACACGGCACGAGGTCTCTTACCTGAGAAAATCCTCCCAACACAATTCTGTTAGAAGGAATGCCATTCTTCACCTCCTGGTCTATTAAAGCTTTTACTGAAAACAAGAAGTTAATCACACACCTTCAGAGTTTAGCCCATTAACAATTTAAAATAGGAAAAGAAAGTAATAGCAAAGCACATAGAATATTCAGGATGAATACACATGAAAAAATTGAACCACTCCATAAAATACATTAGAATGTATTTTTTATTATGAAGTTTCTCAGCTCTTGCAGGTGGTGCTTAATTCAAAATTTCAATAATTTCTTATCATTTACATGTATACATTTACATGTATAAGTAATTTCTTATCATTCCCCCCCCCCCAACCAGGGATTGAACTCAGACCCTTGAGCTTGCCAGGGAAGCGCTTATTCTACTGAGCCATCTCCCAGCCCCTTACTATATATTTTGTATTAACAGTTTTCTCCAAAAGATGGATATTCTTTTTTTATGGTTAATTTGGCTCATGTACATTTTATATTTCTTCCACCTATAAGCTCTCTTCTTAAATAGTATATAGTTAAATAAGTTACAGTTTTTGAGATTTGTGGTTTTTCTGTCCCAGGGCTGAACATGTGGCCTTCACGTTGCCCCCACACCCCCACCCCCCAAGACAGCGTCTCGGTAAGTTGCTGCAGAGCCTCGCAGCCTCACCAGTGCCGTTTTTTGCCAGGGCCTATAGAGGTCAAAGCAGAATCCCTGCACATCCGACAGAGCTGAAGCTTGGCACACGCCCCTCCTCCTGTCGCCCTCACCTGCAGCATCCACACTGACAGCTACACCAGAAGGACACCACGCTGCCTCTGGACCAGACAACCACCACATCTAATCCATGTCTGCGTAACTGCCAAGTCTACCATAAGCACTTCGGATGCAAGTGTTTTTATAAAAGTTGTCTGAACTTACCATTTTCGGCTGCCCGTTTAATTCCAGGTTCATCCTCCAGAGAATCTGGTGAAAGCCCAATGATATCAAACCTAGACAATAAAGCCAAATGTTACCAGAACCATCTGACTTCGACTCTTTTCTTTTTTTGTATTTTTAGTACAGGGTCTACAGGGTCTCACTACCGACTCGTAGTGATCTGCCTGTGTTCAGCCTCCCAAGAGCTGGGATTACAGGGGTGCACCACCACGCCCAGTCTCAGTCGTCCCCCCAGCACGCCCTGGGAGCAGGGCCGGCTCAGCGAGTCCTTTCTTGGTAAGCGTGTTTTACTAAACTCGTGGATAAATGCACTGAGCAGGGACACTTCTGGAATGTGAAGCTCAAATGTCCACAGAGGCTACACAATTGACCTGAATCTGACCTTCTGTGTGGTCCTTTCACTCCAACTAGAGAAAGTTTTTTCTTTTTCTTTCTGTTTGGGCCCCACCTGGGCAATTCAGTGACTTAGTGAGGCTGTCGTCTCAAAAATATAAAAAGAACTCAAAATGTAGTTGGATGAGAAGGCCCTCAGTTCAGTGCCCTACAGTGGAAAAAAATAAACTAAAATGTACCTAAAAGCACTTCCTATAAAAGACTAGAACATTCTTTTTTTTTTTATAAATGTATTTGTTTTTTTTTAATTTATTTAGTGTGTGTGTGTGTGTGTGTGTGTGTGTGTGTATGTGGTGCTGGGGGATTGAACCGCGGTCCCTGTGCTTTGCTAGGCTTGTTCTAAGTAGGTGCTTTAGACCACTGAGCCATCTCACCAGCCCCATAGAACGTTCTTAATGAACAAGTAAATTCTCACTTACCAAGAAGGCATAGCCATGTTCATATTTAACGTTACAGGCATAACAGGTCTACAAAGGAAAGAAAAACAGCAGCAAAATAAGAATAACAGGCACAAAACAATAAATTCCATCCATTTAAAGCAGGTAATTACTTGAGGCCCACACAAAATTCTATGTCAGTTTTAGCACAAGCTGCTTGAAGTCTCTGCAGCTGAGTGACCGTCACCCGCCATCCCCAGTGTGCTCTGGAGACATGGAAGCACCTAAGCCTGGCAGGTAACTTTTTTTTTTTTTTTTCTTTTCCAGGCTTTATTAAATCCTTCCAACTTCTCAAATATGGGAATGCAAAACTGAGAATCGAGACAGCTGGAAATGCACAACATATGTGACTCTGGCAAGGGCAATCTTCTGCACAGACACCCACCATCAACTCCCACATGCTCACATCATATTTTACCCCTCTTCTATTTCTTAGCTACGTAACTGTTCAACTAATACAACTCTAAATATGTAACACCTCTATATACTACACCTCTTATAGGGGATGGTGGCTCTTGTGGGTTAATTTTATCTGAGCCAAAGAAGCCCCAATCCGCCTTAAAGAGAGGAGATACTAAAGCAGAGTCAACTGTACATGAGCCTGCCTGGAATGCCTCACACTTTCACTCCTTCTCCATCCACATTAAGACATGGTCAACATAAAAAAGATAAGAGAAAGCAGAATCAGCTTCTTGTGACCCGGCCACAAACTATCACGGTGACAGCCCTTGATTTCCTGGGTGGACAACCAAAGTGTCCCATCATGGTTGCCCTGGAAAGCAAAAAGGTATGTAATCCAAGGCAAAACAAAGAATGGGGCTAAACGTATTTTTGCTCTGTAACGTCCAGTGGCTAGCCTTATCAATAAACTATCATTCCTGAATCTTCAGTCTGTTGTGGAAATGATCTCGCTGCTTTACTCTAAATGTCACTTTTGCCTAAATGTCCACTGCATTCAATTCAAGCATGGAATAAAAAATATGCTTGAGGGGCTGGGGAGATGGCTC